TTTAACAGGTTTAATTCGTTTTATCTTGGGAGAAATTAATCCATAACCTTGGGTACAGTGAGGGGATTAAATTTCTTAAGGACACACAGTATTTTCTGTGGACTCGAATTAATTCTTCTATTTTAAATTTTTTCTGCTTCATCTTGTTTCTGTTTCTGTTCATTAACTTCATAAATACAAGTTATTGTAAGAATAACAACATCCTTGCGAGCTTTGGATTCTTTCCTATCTCTGACCGGGAAAGAGGTTACATCTTCATTAACCTTTTGTTAGAAATGAATTAGTCCAATGTAGCTAACCACAAATTAAACTTGTGCCTTGGTTGTGCTATACTATTTTATATTATTATTATCTTTTTTTATATATAGTATTTCATATTAGTGTAGCAGATTTCAAAGGTTTTGTGGCTAAATGACGATAATGTAACTTGTGGTGATACTTTATCTTCCTTCAATGTTAGGTTATATCTATCTTGGGTATATCAATGCTTCATTTCATTCTTCAAGTTATTTAATTTCCTTCGGTATCAATTATTGTTTGAAGGGACAACATTATCATCTGATTTCATATAAACGATATTTATCCACAAAGATTCTCAATGCTTAATTAATTGTCATAATAGATTTCGCGTTGAAGCAATATTCAAGCCATGACAAACATTAATGTTGAGCACTTTAGGTGTCCAAACCTTCTCCCAAGTAAACAAGGCATCATTGCTATTGTCTCATAAGTAATTCTTCCAAATTTTGTTTACCTCTTAAACGACATTTTGGGGTAGTACAGAGACAAATTCTCCCAAGCTATGTAATGGAAATAGGAGTGATGATATCACTTGCAATCTTCATGTGTATGATAACTTCTTCGAATAAGTGGCATTTATTTGGTGTGTTATTTTGGCAATCAATTGATGGCATTCTATCTTCGATCACTTTTGGGAGAACAAAGGTAATTCATATATCTGAAAAATGAGCCAAGTGTAAAGTCAATTCTACCGAATATTTCTTCTTTAGCTTCCCTCTTAGTCGATGATCTGAGGTGGCTAAAATGTGCTAGTGCTTCAAACATTTTATCAGTGATTAACTTTCTTTTTAGAAAATTCCATAAGATTATCAGCAAATATAAGCTATGTCAACTTGACTTGCTTATGCACATGAAATGGAACTTAAAAGCCTAATGACGAACCTTACATGTTCATAAAGTCTAATAGCTACTTCATAAAACCTACTTTTAAGTCTTGTGTGATATGTTCTTATCACACATTGATAGTGAATGTGCAACTTTCATTTCATATATCCTACTCTAATACAATACATATTATTGTCAATCTTTTAAATACTCCTGAGAGTCAAAAATAAGCGTAGATATGAGAATTTTTGAATAGGGTCACCATTCAAATTATTATTGAATTCGTGGACAGACCAGAAATAACCTGACAAATTAAAACATCCTAGTAGTCAAGAAAATAAAGCAAAAGAGATTTTCAAATAGTGACAAACGAAATGAGAATAATCTAATTTTTTCTTAATTATTTGATACTTGAAAATACATTATATTTGTTCATATCTATCTTATCATATAAGTTCTGTCAGCTAAACTTACCCCCAAATATTATATTATAGTTTTACTCAATCTATATAATAATCATCCAAATTAATTTAATTATACTAAATTAAAAATAAATAAGGTAATCACAATATATGAAATCACCAAGATTTGCTCATCCTTTTAATGTTCAAAAATATTTATATGAAAAAATTAAGAAAGTTATGTTATAAAATCAAAATCAATGATCTCAAAAAGTTTAAAATAAAAATAAAATTTTTGTTTGTTTCCGTCCACGTATTCCATTGGCCTAGGATAAAAAAAAAAAGTGCGAGTAGGGGCATATATGTAAATGTATAGAATCTTCTTGCTTCCATCCTAATCTAAGCTCTATATAAGACGAAGAGAGCCGATCCAAATGCGCAGAGCTTTCTTGTTTGGTAAGCTAATTTTTGCGAAGCCGATAGAGAAAAAGAACAACTCAGAGAAATGGCAGAGGGGGGACAAGTCTTTGGCGTCCACACCGTTGATGAATGGCACCAGCATCTCCAAAAGGGAATTGATAACAAAAAACTGGTAACTCTTGTCTTTTCTCTTTTTGTTGTTTTCTTTTCTTGTATGATATCAATATGGAGTATTAATTTCTTCGTTCATCGTTGAGTTTCTTGCTGTATGTTATGACGGATCGAATCTTGATTTGGCGTGGGTTTGTCGAGATCGGGAATTGGAAACTGTTAAAAAGAAAATTGGGCTCTGTGTTTTATATGATTATATAAACCGATTGCACATCGTTCTGTTTCGTTTTGAATCTAGCAAAATCGTATGTTTTTTTTTACACATTTTAGTTTCTTGTTCGGTTTGTTGATCTCCATTATGAATTGAGGATTAAAATCTCGACATCGTTTCCCAATTTATTTATTTTCTCTACAATGTAGAGAATATTCCATCAATGCACCCACAATAAAAGATTTTTATTGTTTAGGCTCATCCGTGTTTCACATCGATGAGAACATAACATATGTTTATTTCGAAAAAAGAGATTTTACCAATGACTTACTTCTATCAGTGATCTTGATGTTCTTAACTCCTGTTCAGTACTTGTGTATGATTATCGTTTGGGTGATTCATTTAGGCATGGATTGATTGATCGTGTCTAGTTTTGTGCTAGTAATACTACCCCTCATCAAATTTTTTTTAATCATATTTACTAATGTTGCAGTTAGTTGTGGACTTTACTGCTTCCTGGTGTGGTCCCTGCAAGTTCATTGCTCCATTCCTTGCAGAGTTGGCCAAGAAGATACCCACTGTTACCTTCCTGAAGGTGGATGTGGATGAATTGAAGGTAAAATTATGGAGCCGAACATTTAATACGTTTGGTGGCATATAACTAAGACTCTATTAATGTTTACCTAACAATGTGATTCAACATATAAGGAAGTAAATTTCCTAGTACGAATGATCCTGATGATGTCTTACTTACTCGTCGCAGTCGGTAGCTACTGATTGGGCCGTGGAGGCGATGCCAACCTTCATGTTCATCAAGGAGGGGAAGATCGTTGATAAGGTGGTAGGAGCCAAAAAAGATGAGCTGCAGCAGACCATTGCCAAGCACATCAGTAGTACCTCATCAGCCTAATTAATTAGTTTTACTCCCTATTATATTGCACTTGGTTGAGTGACATCTATCTTTATATGAGCAAGAATCAGTTTAATTTTTGTTGGATATTGCAAGTTCTTATTATTAGTCAAATATTATTCTGCAGTTTGCACTATTCCGTATCTAATCAAAAAAGGGATTTTTTGCGTTGAATGATAAACGTGGTCCTTAGTTATTTCAATGGGTGTTTTTCCATTTCAATTGTTTATGTTGTCCGTGTAACAATATCCAAGTGTACTGTTGGTGAACCACTTGCCTCGACTGACACAAGTGTAACCTAATAAGTCGACTCCAGTCTTCAAAATAACACATTTGAATATATCCTGGGGAGTTCTACTGTGAAAAAAGACATCAACTAGCACAGAAGATTGATGGTAATGAAAATCAAAATTTGAACTGCAAACTTCTGTTCAGTTTGTTGTAAGAAGAGTTGAATAATCCAAGCACAGGGTGAAGACATCAGCAATCGAACCATAAAAAATGGATGCAGGGTGTGAACTCAAAACGGAACAATGGTACCTTACAAGAGAAATGCTTTGGTGAGTGTCATGAGTCCCGTCCCATGTACTTCTGTTTAGGCTTAATTAACATGCTCATATATGGCGCTAGGTTACATGAAAATGAAAGACAACGTAGATGCAAATTACACTTTTCCATTGAATTCTTTCTGCCAACAGCACATCACAGACGACTATAAAGGTTCATGTTAGGATCCGTTCCTAACATGAACCTAAGGGGTTTGGTTTTCCCAGGAAGACAAGCTATCACACTGACTAAACAGTACATAAATGACCTTATCCGGTCCATATTTCCAATTTAAAAGCAGAAAGGGACCAGACTCTAAGATGGGAGTGGCATTTTGGAACTCCCAACAATCTACAAACTCGTGTATAAATATGCTATCTTCACAGAGTCCCCTTCGGCACCCCCAAAATTTAGAGTACTACCTAATGAACGTGTATCAGGAGTTTTCCTTGACAACATTCACCAACCAAACTACTACCTCCTATTTCCTTTGCTTCACAGTTTATTCTTACCTCACTAGCCTTTTCCTCATGGGTGTACACTAAGTTACGCAACATCTGAACAACTTTTCTTTTTTTTACTGTTCAATTCTGAGTAGGTGTACAATGTGCTTCTACAGACAACCGCTTCAGTACGTTGGGGCAGGGATCTTCTCCAAAGTTGCTATTTGATATTGTCACAGCACATGTTTGGCGTCCTAGACATTTCTGGCAAAGTTACAAGAACAAAATGTGAGTCAAGTGAAATTAGGCTGCCGAGTGAGTGGCTGAACTAAAGTAAACAATTTATTTTTGTCGCTGAGGGTACCTTTTCTACAACGGCGTGTGAGTCGGGAGCATGGCAAGTTCCTTGCTTGAAGCTCCCACAGGTTCCGAGAGGAGTTCCGAAGCTTGCAAATTTAATGGAGGAAATAGATTGACCAGGAGCACAGTGAATGCGAACTTTGGGTAGGTGAAACTCTTCGGTTTTGCCGTAGTTCTCAATTTGCCAGTTCTTAATGTTTGGATGATATTCAGCTACATTCGAACATACGTTAGTGACTGATCTTTTCACGAGAGAAATTCTTGTGGGATCTCCGCCAAGTTCTTCAAAAAGCACCAACAGATTTTGAGTGGGTTTTAACCAAGACCGAGGAACATGGTACCTGAAAAAATAAAATCTTCAAGTTACCAGTACAAGGACCTCCAGTTTCCAGTTATTTATGGTGTTCTGTCAAATTGTCAGGAAGCAGTGTATAGCTGGGAAGAAGTGGCTTACCATTTTTGAGTTGGTTCCCCACATCCCAGTTGACATTTTGGAGGCCGAAAAACTCCAGAATATTGGCACCCATTGCAATCTCCAGTAGCATATGCAGTCCAATATCTACCAATACTCTGGCCATTAATCCATACTTGACCTTTACCCATACTGCTCATGTCCAAAGCCAATGGCTCATCTCCTTCGGGTGTATTGAAGTAAGCCTGCAATATGATGAGTTGTAAGACATGACTACCATCAATTGCATCTTTGGAACCTAACTCCTAGTTTCATACCTTATGCCATGTCAAGGGTTGTTGTTTCTGTGCAATTAATGAACCTTGCATCCAGTCAACGGCAGAAATACCATTTGTCGAAACAAGATTCATGGCCTCCCCTTTAAGCCCAACCTGTTAGTAAGTCCATATCAGTTAAAGGTTGCAGTTGAAGTAATTGATGATTGATTGAACAATAGGGCTATAAGTTAGTGCACCTGATATGTCCACTTTGCCCAGGACAAGTCCCATTTTCCATGGTCAAGTCCTTGAATTGCAACAGGACCTAGTACGCCAGTGCTCCATGTTTCAAAATGTCCACCAATGTTCTTCAGAAAACAAAAAGAAATATTAAGAATCAAGAGTACATTAAAAAAGAATGTATAAATGATCTCACGACAGTAAATAGGCTACAAAGTGTTGCTTCAACATATCAGTGATCATGATGATAATAGCTAGTTGCACTGATGAACTGGTTTTCTATCCCTTCTTTTTTGATAAGACTTTTTCCTATCCCTTTACTGCTGGGAAAGGAGAATTTACATTACCTTCCTCTCACACGGGTATATAGCAATCAAAGAATGCACAATGGCCTTCTTACACTGCAAGGTAAGCAACGTGAGGCTGTATTTTCTTGTGCGCTTAAGTTTCATGCTTTTGCCAATCCCAGCGGTAATAAGGAAAAACGTTGTCTACAAATTATCATTAACTCTGCCGAAAGTAGCCATTAACCCATGCTCAATAGTTTTAAGCTATGCAACATTGTAACCTCTAATAATTATTTCTTTTCTTCACTTGCTGGTACCAGCATTTTGTTTTTTGCGCTAGCATAGTAATCAGTGATACTGCAGCTGATTAATGATTCTGATATATGTTAGTGATGCTCAACACTTATTGTTGACTTTATTTGAAGCTATTTAACCGTAGAAACTTATTTTATTTTCTTCATGAGTTACTCAAACTTGAATTGACCTCAGGTATGCATGCTATTTGGAAGACCGAAGGTGAGGATTAACTAACCGGCAGCCCGACAGCCACGCTAAGCAGTGCAATTCTGTTTGAGCCAGCACGAAGATTGACTTTTCCTTTAAATACAAATCTCCTATTCTTCCTTGTCCCAAATGCAGAACCTTTAAAATGTGTAGGAGCATTCATTGAAATTAGCAAGTTTAAGCATAATCATAGATACTTTTGATGAAGTAACATTGACTGCATTACCTGAGAGCTGACCATTAATAAACACATGCATAGCATGGCCTGTTGTCTCAACTATAAGAGTAGGGAGCTCTCCACCATGCAAGAAGGACTCAGTTGAACCAATATCAACACTGTAACAGAGGAAAACATCATACATGTCACATAAAGCTAAAATTTCAGCTTTCAGGTCACAAGCGTTCAAAGAAGTAGGAGAGGTCGCAAGGATGAGTAATATGAGAACCGAAAGTGTCAATTCATCTAGAAATACTCCTCGAGCGAGTGGAACATTTACTTAATTTCCTAGAAGATTAAAACACATTATTCTCTGTAAAGGAGGTACTTCAAGACAATCCACCCTCCACCTGTAACCCCCTTCCCATTCTCCCCTTCTCTTCAGACACGTCGTGCAGTAAAAAGAGATGAGCAATAAAACATTTGCACTGGCAGACAATCCAATTCCCCATGAGAGGCAAATCGAGGAAACAGGTTTAATAGTCAGATACAAAACCAAACTCACCTAGTTATGTACCACAAATAATCACTTGTATCTCTGGTTACATTTATTTGCTCCAAGAGACCAAAAGACCTAATTGATGAGCTGTCATCTAATGCAGATATATCTTCACTGTAAGTCTCCCAAGATAGCATCTCTGAGTTAGTCGGTAGCATTTCCATCTTTGATGTTTGAACTCCAACCTACATATGAATTTAAAAGCTGTTAAATCCTTGCTTTCAGAGTTGTCAGCGAGTAGCATAAATGAACTATATCTTTCGGAGGATGCTAAAGCAGCTCATGAGTACTATTGAATGTACAGAAGTTCCCACACGGGTGTATTACGTACTTTGGCCGTGTTGAAGACTACATTTCTGCAATCAGGAAGGATGCTAATGGACCAAGGAGGCAAATTATAGTGCATATTATTGAACATTACTCTAGCAGCAGATTTCCAGTCATTGTTTGACAAGAAAGCTGCACAACCCCCTGTCTCTGAAGAGTACACATATGCCTACAGCAACAGAGAATATTCAATGAGAGACAAATTACAATGAACCATAGTTACAAGATTACAGATGTTTATGCAGAATTATGTACTTGTTGAAGGTTTCCCAAGGATGTGATTGCTGGATCTGCAGAAACTATGGATTTCTCACACATCTTGACAGCTCTATGAAGCTCCTTGAGATGACCATATTTTGGCTGTCTGATCAAACCTGTTGAATGGAAGGGAGTTTAAAGGACTCCTTACAGTTAAGCGGAATTGAATAATGACAGGCAAATTTTTATGCTACAAAGCTTTTAAAGCGTACACAAATTAGAGAAGGAAATCCTTATAGAACAAATATCAGTGAAGGAAACATGGTCTCACTGAAACAATCCACAATTTCGAAGACCATCACAACTCCTTAAATAATACTCAAGGCATGTGAGTTTAAATCTACAAGAGAAGAGAAGTAAAGAGGAAACAACAGCTCTACACTCACCATACTCATCAATTGGAGCATCATAATCATAGCTGGTAGTGATGAATGGCCCACCCGCAGTGCGTCCAAAGTTCGTGCCCCCATGGTACTGTTAGGCAAAGAGAGGAAATGTTGTTACTATATGGGACTTCAAGCATGCTTTCGATTTATAAAGAAGAAGTATGACTTCTCCACATCAGGCATTAGCCGAAGTAGTGAAATGGAACTAACCATGTAATAGTTAACAAAAGATCCTCCTCTTTGTATAAATTGGGCAACAGCAAATGCCAAATCCTGAACTGGTCTCTGATGAAGGGGACCGCCAAATTCCGAGAACCTTAAATTTATTGAGAAAACAAGTCAAAAATGACCCAACTTCAAATATAATCAAAAGTTTAAAGGAAGAGACAAGATTTACCATCCACTCCAAGCTTCAGTCCAAATTGCAGGTTTGTATGGTTTGTTTGGGAAGAAATTATCACAGTAGAAACCATTGCATGTGTTGATCTGTTATCAGCAATAAGAAAAAGTTGTTTAAGAAGTTGTAGAGAGCTAATCAGTTGTAAAATTTTTGGATTTTTATTAGAAACTGAAGCAAAATTGGAGAGGATCGATAAGAGCAGAACTGTTTGGCTCATTAGGAGGAGGTTAACTAATATGCACTTAAGTGTAAAATTAGGTCATTTAAAAGCTAATTACAGGTAACTTTTATAGCAAGATTGACAGGTGTATGTAAGTTAAACTAAACTAGAACATGCTACAAAACAAAGCCAAATGGAGTATGGGAAGCTCTAACAACTATGTTTGCTTACCACAGGATCTGGTGCATCTTCTTCCTTGCACATCACCCATGGGACGCCTGTGTCTAATCCAACTGCCATATTTGCAGCCCATGTTGAATACTGATGTCCCGGTGCTCCAAGTACCTTGGCTTGAGGCCCATACTCATTCTCAATCTGCAGTAGCAGATCAGACAGAAAGGTTACATGAGAATTGAACTAGTTTTAGTGGAATTAGGCTTCAGCAAACACAAGAATTGTAGAGTATAATGAACTAATTGGAATAAAAAATCCTGAAAGATAAACAACCTGTGAGAGTATGATTGGACCACCCTGAGACTCGAAAAGATTATGACTCTTCATCAAGTTAACAATTTTCTCAGCATACCCTTTCATTGCGTTCTGTCAATCCATAAAACAATTAAATTTCATTAACTATCCTCCATTTAAAATGATAATCTTCTAATGGTGAATTTCTTTTTTTTCAATTATTTTCAGGAGAAGGCTGAAACCTTGAAAGGTTCATTATCAGCTCTGAAGCTAATGCCAGGTACATACTTCAGCCATACTGGAAACCCTCTGTGGAATTTAACAGTAAAAATTAGTACCTCTTGGTATGAACATGTTTTATAGATCTAGTGAAGAGAGAGAAAAAAAGAAGAAATGTACCCAAAATTCCACTCTGCACAAACGTAAGGGCCAATTCGAAGATGAGCATACAGCCCTGCTTTCTGAATCGTTTTTACAAACCTCACCAGGTCATATCTTCCTTCAAAATTGTACTGAAAACACCCAAAAAAAAAGATTTAATCTTTGAGCACAAAACATGAATGAAGACAAGCTAATTTGAACAGAAATAAGAAAGGAATGAAGTACATTGCCAGGAGAAGGCTCATGAACATTCCAAAAGACATAGGTCTCAACCACATCCAAACCCCCTTCTTTTGCCTTGTTTATCAGATCTTCCCACATCTACAAAACCACATTTTAAAGCTCACTTCATAAACACTTTCACAGTAAAAAGAAAAAAGAGAGCATAAATGGGCAAGAATTGAAGTACCTCAGGGGTACTTCTAGGGTAATGTATAGAACCAGAGAAAAGTAATCTTCTTTGCCCATTAATCACAATAGCTTTCCTATCATATGTAACATCACAGTGAACCAACCCAGAGCTAATAAACAATACTATACACCATAGCAGAACCCACTTCTGAAGTGAGTTAACCTCCATGATTCCACCTCCCTTTTTTTCTCTTTTTTTTTAATCTTACAAACACATCCAAGAACACAACTTTCCTTTCTGGGTGGAGGGAAATTTGAAGCAAGATCAAGAATCTTGGAACAAAAAGGTGAAAATTTATGGAGGGTAGGCTTAATTGCAATGTGGGTGCACAGCAAGTCAGTCCACTTTTGCTTTGAAGATCAACCACAGTGCTTGTGTCCAAGTAATTGCCTCTTCCTCCACCTCAAAACTATAATGTGCAAGTCTTGGAAGTGATGGAAATACAAGTTTATATATAGAGAGACAGTTGTAATGTACAGCTTTAATTTCACTATTGCCAAGAAAAATAAAAAAGGGAGAGAGAGAGAGTCATCAGTGCGTGACTCTGAGCTCAACCCTCAAAAAGAAATTACTAAAATAATTTAATTATGTTATTTCTTTCGTTTTAATTTATTTATCTGATTGTAATAATATGAGATATTTAATTTCGTGATTTTAATTACGAAGAGAACATTCATTCAGCAGTACTCGATAAAAGCACATGGAGTAGTAAAAGAAGCTGACAAACAGAAAAAAAGGAAACAAGAATATCATGTGTAAATCTAAGAAGCTTTTCCCACTGCTCTATTTTTTTTTTCATTTTTAATTGGTTGAAAATTGAAAATAAAGTGTAAGGTTTTGAAGTGGAGGGAAGAGAGTGATTTTGGCGCATTAATGAAATTTGTGCAGGTTTAGCGGGGTCATTAATTAATTAGTGGGAAACATATGGCTAGATTTTATTTTCATAATATTTGTTAAAAAATATTTTGCTAACAAGGAAAGAGTTGTATTTTACTTATTTGTTACAGTATCAATTTTATTTTTATTTTTCAACTGTTTTCCTAGCTGTCACTGCTGATGGTCAAAATTGTACACCTGGATTTATAGATTTTAGATCCACCGAGCTGACACACGAATGTATATTTTCGGGTCTCATTTAATTGTGATTAATTAAAAATGAAATCTTTGATTCTTAATCTGATCTAACGAGAATATTTTAAATGATTTGAAAATTTTTAACTTCTGACCAAGTCTCGTGAAAGTATCGACCGGTTCCATTTTATTTTTTCTGGTCAAACTAATTTATTTAGAAATTTCTTCTTTTATTCTCAATAAAATTTTATTTATTTTTTAAAAATACGCTAACAAGGTATATAACGTAATCTCAAAATTCAGTAACAACAAAGATTTAAAATAGAGGTATACTGTCATTTTTGTTTAAAAAATTACAATACAAACATCAAGTTAAAAAATAAAAAACAAAACACTAAAAATTTTATAGTTAATAAATAATGTATGTGTGTTTCACCAGAAACAAAAAGCACATAAAATGTGAAAAAGAAAACGACAAATATTATATAGAGTTAACTAAACGTGAAAGCTTTCGTATAGTGTGTATACGTAGCATCCATTATTATACAGAAATTGGTTATTGAGTTATAAAGAGCTCACCTCACCGACAGAACAATTAGCAATAGTACATAAAATACAATAATTTGATTTGTGTCAAACAAAGAAGATGGTCAAGTGTCCAATCTTAAGATATTTAGACATCATGAATTAATGTCACTTTCCCAACTGATCACTCAATTCACATGATTCCAAATTATATTGGAGTTACTAGCTTAGCTAGTTGTTTGGTAAATTGACTAATTTAATTTTAAAAAAATTATTAATTATACATAATATATTACTCCCTTGGTGCCTTTTGATATGTTGTTTAATGTTTGGTTACATCCACTAAGAAATTCGTATGATTACACCAATGGTACACTTTAACTTAGATTACTCTTTGAATGCTTCCATATGATTTACTAAAACAATAAGAATATAATTTTTTAATTAAATTATTCTGGTTAAAACTGGCTAATTAATAACAAGGATCGGAGGAACCGCATCTCTCTAATCACTACAATTTTTCAAAGCATAATTAATAATAATAATAAATATCAACAGGATATTTTATGCGTTAAACTGTCTAATTTTAATAAAAGAAACCGCTAAATAATGTCTTTTTAAAAAAATATCAAGTCAACCTGAATTAAATAAAATAAATTTAAAATAATAACGAACTAGAGATAAGTAGTAGTTATTCAGTAACATATGTTATGTTTCGATAATTTATTTATTTATTGAGTGAATAATAAATGTATGTAGCTAATTCCTATAAGAGAGGAAGTAGTACAAGTCGTTCACAAAAATGTTTAGGCCGAATTGTGACACACCACAACTATAGTCTATGTATAATAATCCATGTTGAAGCAAACTAGTACGTGTGTTTACATTACATCCAAAAATAAATTGGTCAGTCATTTTCATTTAGAAAGAGTAAAACTCAATAACTAGTCTTTTTTTTTTTCTACTTGACAATAATCCACAGAAATTACAGCTAGGCCACTACACATATTTTAATTTCATGAATGTCGTTTTTGATATATCAATGCAGTATATTGTCAGTGTCTCCCAAAATTATGTCATTTTCTAGTTCCATGGCGTTTGCGCACAACCCCCACCTAAGTTTACATGTACTTATTTCTTACTAATTGAGTGTCAAACTTGCCCAATATATTTGGTTTAAACTCTATAACACATGTCAAGAATCAACAAGAAAATGCTAATTCTTAATATAAAATGGTGGGAGCAAGTAGTTGGAAATTGAAAAGCTACTCCACTAATTAAACTTTCTTTATGTTTCTGTTCCTTTTTTTAAAAAAAAATAAAATAAAACTTTGTTGTCTATTACTTTATTGTTTCATTTTGTTTGGTTTATTTTCTTAGTTCATTTCTAAGAAATGATACTTTCCTTTTCTTTTTTAAAAACTTCTAAAATTTTAACTTTTTACTTAACATATTTAAGACGATATTTTAATACATTTAATATATTTTTTTCATTTTATATCACAAAATTTAAAAGAGTTTAGTTTATTTCCATTTGTAACAGGAGAGTAATAAAAAGAGAGGTCCCCCACAAGGGGAGAACTAAGGTAATTTGTGTGAGTCAGAAAGTAATAGTAATACTATATATATGGTTCTACTTCAATATTCTATTTTAAAATTGCTTTAGTATATATCATAATGGAGCAAAATTGTATGTATAATATACTGAAACTTTTACATGAGAATGAATATAAATATATATAATTCTCCATTACCCGAAACATAGCATGAAAATTGGCAATTATTTCATGCTATAATATAATGCTTTTCCTATCATAAATGTTAGTTGTGAAAACATTATTAAATACAATATTAAAATGAGTAATAGGAGTAGCTTCTTTTTTTTTTTTGCAATAAGGTCAGTATCCCTAATTATCAGATTCTGGCCTAACATATCACTTCACGTTACTGGAGTTCAACAAAACAAACAAATAAATAGTCAAAGTTTATGGGTTCAATTACACAATGGTTCTTTTTTCTTCGTATGCCAAGGTATGTCAAAGTTACCAACAAATAAATGAGTACTTGGGTTGAATTTGGATGATTTACATTTTACGATAGTCTAGATCAATAAATAGATCTCACATTTAGACATTTAATGAAGTTAAAAATTTTAATTGAAATAAGCGACATTGTTAAAAAATGTAAAAGTCTTACATTTTGAGGTAAATGAGATGAGTAGACACCATATAAAGTCTGTGTAATCCTCCTCCCTTTGAGTGAGATAACTTGTGGAGTGCGAGTTAGGCCTGAGATTTATTTTCACAATCACCAACTAGTTAACATTAAAATTTTAGTTGTAAAACAGATCATATATTGTTAGGAGCTCTATTTTAATCTATTTAACGTTATAGTATTAGAAAATTCATGAAATTATTAAATATTTGAATATTGAAGCGAGATTAATTAGCAACCTTACAAGTTGATGTTTTCCTTCATTGTCAATATAACCTTAAACTTAGTTGTGAAACAGATCAGATGTTGTTAGGAGTTCCATTTAAATAGCATTAGAAAAATATTAACAACGTCCAATATTAGAACTCATACAATCAATAAATATTGAAGCAAGCTTAATTAAGTAACGTTGCAAGTTAACGTTTTTTACTTTATTGTCAAGTTAACCTCAAACATGTCCCTAATTACGAAACTTTAAGTATGGTCAATCTCAAAAGAGAAGTAAGATTAGAGTGAAGTTACAATTTATTAGTTGTTACACGGAATCTATACATGACTTCTAATTGTTTCAGACAAAAAAGGGCATTTTTAAATCTGTTCTTTGGTCAAAAGAAGCAAGACAAATTGAATTGATTATTCTTTTCCTTTTTGTTTAATTACTAATTGTTTGGTTTAGAGCCCAAATTGTAAATTAAATTAGTAATAAACATTGGATCCTAATTAGTGGTTGCTGCAGTCTTTTGGGAGTCAAAATAATAGGAGTCGTAAGCCTTTTTTGTTGCTTTTGTTAACTTTTCCATTACGCTTTTTAAGCTTTCGACGGCGTGATGAACGGGCAGATTGCAGATTCTGTCTCGCTAATGCTTCTTTGCTTAACACTAAACATGTCAATTAATTAAACATTAAACTAGTTTAATTAGTAGTCCACTAGTTGCTAAAAGCTCATTTTTAGGTATTCTTATAGAGTTCCTTCACATTTTATCTTAAGTCGGTACAAAAAAAATCAATAATTTGTTAGTTATAAAGGAAGTAAAGAAAGAATCTAATCCAGCATCAGTGGGGTGAATGTGGCTGAGCAAATGACATAGATATTCTCATGGGATTTACCTAATTATATCATGCTTTGTGGTTAATCACTAGAGACCATTTCCTCAATTATATTAACTTTTAACTACTATAGTTGAGATATTTAAATTTTACAATGGTTATATGGAAAAAAAATATATTGTAAGTCTGGGCGATCGATTTCACGTCATCATAAGATTTTTATTACTAAAAAAGAAAGGTTGAGTTTGTAATGTATCAAATTAAATAATTAGTGTGAAATTTGTAATAAGTGAATCAAAGAAAGATAGAGTTTACTGAATCTGAAACACATTTAAATTTTGTGTGAATTAAAATCAATGTTAGAGACTGTCTGATTTGAAACAAATGTATTGTTCTTTCAATTTTTTCTTTGTTGTAAGTAAATATAGAAGATTAATTTTCTCTTATCAAAAAAATAAATTTAACCAATCATTTGAAATCTTGTTAGCAACCCAATAGTGGTAAGTTATCAAAACATCATAAATCCCATAAAGCTATGGCATGGCTAACGCATGGGACCATCC